AATTAGTGAAGTCCCTTCAAAACATTTTAACCAACCTACCGTAGAAATAAAGTAATAACTTTCACCAAATCTCAGCTATGAATATTCAGTGAGCGCGCTTTCACCTCATTCCCGTGTAATGAAATCGAGAACAAACCTTCCTCGAAAATCTAGAATTTTAGCAGATGCTTGCCTTTCATAATGGGGCATATTAATTTACGGTGCAGTTTCAGGGCTATCATCCCTATAGTTTGGTTGATTGAGTTTAATATTTATGATCCATGATAATGGCTTGAGAAAAGAACATATCATTCACGAACGGAAAAGGAAAAATTTAAATCTCCCTGTTTTGAAAGATGCGTTCATAATCATAAAACATAAATTTGCTTGATTTATTTTCTCACGCATCGTGTGTTCCTATTTAACTTTTTTGCTTACGAATGATGGGTATTTATTCGAAAACAAATCCCAATTACACGAAAAGTTTTGACCACTTTCTGAAGTAAACTTATTGACAGACACAAAACTTAATAATAATAATAATAAAACAAAAATTTCTGAATACTAAAAAAAAAAATTATCATGCAAAAATGTTACAAAGTGTACATTAGAGCATTTTTAACTGAAAAGGTGAACCTAAGTAGAAGAATATTGTTCTGTTCGTGTTGTAGTTGTAGTTTTTATTTACGTCGCACTAGAGCTGCACAATGGGCTATAGACGACGGTCTGGGAAACGTCCCTGAGGATGATCCGAAGACATGCCATCACAATTTTGATCCTNAAAAAAAGTTTTTTGCACATTCTTAAATAATGTTTATTCGTTTTGTCAGATAAACTCACTGATTAACGTGAATGTCGTGGCATAAGCAAACTAAATCACCAAATTAGTAACTCTAAAGTTATACAAAACAACGTGTTTTTTTTTGTTGATGGTTATACTTTAAAAAAGTGACTCTGTAAAATATAATAATTTAAAATCGATGGTTTTTGGAATGTTATAACGGTTTTTTGAATAAGTTTTGTACTGAAAATCAAATAACGCCAGCGATGCTATATTAATTTCTATAAATTGGAATTACATGAAATTAAAAAAAAATAAGCTATGCACTAAAAAGCAAAATTGAAAGCTATGCACTTAAAAGAAAAATAGGACAAGTAATTTAGGATAAGGGTAAAAAACCTATAAGCTATTATTGACTCCAAGGCTGCCTAATTATTTTCGGGAATAAGTTTTAAATAAAATATATATTGAAATGAAAAAAACAATATAATATTAATATTCAATAAATATATTAAAAAGAATTTTTTCTAATCTTTGAATCTGATCAATACTTTCAAATATTATTTTCGTTTACTGGGGTCTATCGATTTTATTCTCCTATTAGCCTTAAATTATTTCTTTTAGTTTTCTTCCAATAGCAATAAAAAAAAACAAATAAAACTTCTCGAACAAACGTTCATAACTTTGTTTCCATCATATTCTTCCCCTTGAAAAACTTAGTGGAATAAAATTTCTTTTCAATAACTATCTAAAACTGGCTTTTCATATACCTTAAGACTTACAGAGAAAAAAAATTAAGATTATAGTGAGCTTCAACTAACGAAGCTTCAAGATTGAGTTAGAGATCTAAAATAAAAGAAGTCAGACATACAATTAAAAGTTGTTTTTTTCTTCCTTCGGTAAGAAAAGAATTGTTTGAGTTTAACAAAATTCATACCAATCATAACAATAACCGAAATAAGAAGGAAAAATCAAAGAAGAAATGGTTAAAGCAGAGCAACTTTCAGTGTCTGTATTCAATCCATTGAAGTTGTTAGGGCATCCATGTTGTTATAGAAAAGGTCCTTGGGGAAGATCTCTGTTTTCAGATTTGTATTATCGGCTTCCGATAAAACTTTTTACGTTTACATTCCCCAATCCAAATTTTTATTTCAACAACAACAGGAATGAAAAGGTTAGATTTTGTTCACAAAAAAAAAATTCTGTTTGCAGGGAGTTTATCTGTAGATGCACTTTAAATCTGGAATCGGTAATAATCAAGAGTTTTGAAATGGCAAATTCTATTTTTTTACCGTTCGAAATTTAGATATCTAGTTTTCTTTTTCAAACCTGTATCTTTCTATTCAAAACTCAAAAGTTTCTTAGATTGAAAGTTCAAAAGTTTTTAAAACAGGACTTTTAGCACAGTGATAATTCCCAAACTAAAAAATCGAGGTAACAATTGTCTCCTATTTTAGAAGTCAGTTGTTTTTATATTGTCTGTCTCATCTATTATTCCCACGAAATTTCATGATGTAAGACGTTGTAGAATTTGGAATTTGAATTTATATTTTTTTATTAATATGCAGTGTGTATATATTTTGAAATCTTAGCAGATCAATAATTGACAAAAATGAGATAATATACTTAGGTCGTTTCGGACCATTACTTTTTCGAAAAAAAATAAGCCCAAATACATCTGTATCACTTCAGATAGCGTTCTTTTGCTATATATATATTGATTTGCGCATCTTTTTCCTAAAATGTTCATAGGAAACGTGAGAATTTTTAAAAAAAATAAAAACTGAATTCTTGTATTTTAAAAACCTTTTCATCATCTTGGAATTTAAGTAAATTATTTGGTTTTGTTATCTCAATATCTCTTGTTTTTAGCTAACTTCTTACGATAGATTACCATTTGATAGCCCTGTACCTTTTAAAAAAAGTTCAAAAATGAAATGATCATTATATAATTAATTAATAATAAGAATAATAATTAATAATAAGAATTCATTATAGAACAAGATAATTTTTATAATTTCCATGGATTTTTCTTAAAAACATGAAGCCATGAAATTATGTAGATAATAATTTTAGATGGGTAATTTAGTACTGTATATTTGTCCGTTTTTAGATTTTTTTAAAATTCATTTATTTATTTTTATTATTGTTCAGAGTAATACAAGAACGATTCGAATGACGCTTAAGTTTTTTTCTTACTTCAGAGTAAATTAAATCTTTACTTTTAGCGTAAATTAGAAAAAAAATCTTTCTTTTAGAGTAAATTACTCAAAAAGAAAGGTATTTTATCAAAACTCTATAAATGCATAAACCAATGAGAAATATTAATCGCAGACATTATACAATTTGTCAGAAATTTAATATACCAGGTAGCAAAATATATCTCCTAATAATTTTTAATAGAAACCTAATACTGTACCTATTATTATTTTCTATCAATTTTTAATGTTTTTCCGAATATTCTCACAAAATATTGAGCATTTACAAATATCTTAATTTTACTACTCTTAACAGTGTTTTTCTGAGATCAATTTATTCCGAAATTGGAAGTAATTTTGAAATTTTTGAGGCAAAGCGCTTTAATTATTATAATGATTAGATTTATTTCATTCATTGACTCATATTTTAATCAATACTTGTAGTTTTGAAACTTCCAAAAATCTTACGAAAAAAGGAGTTAATAAATATTAAAAGATAGAAATTTTAAAAAAGAAAGAGTTTCAATCCTTCTTTAACAAGACACTACATATTTAAAATTAAATGTAAATTTAAGTTCCGAACTCATTTTGGAAACTTGTTGTAAGTAAATTCTACCCTTTTTTTAGAATACAAAAAAGAAAAAAATGGGCATCCGCAAATAATAATAACGATGGGTTAAGGGCTAGAACGCTCGTTTCCCAGTGAGGTGACTTAGGTTTGAATCGTAGCTATAGTTAGTCGATACGAATTCTGGCGGCAAGTGTGTTGACGTAAAAACATCCTCAGGCGGATCATGGATAAGGATCTTTTTGCCGTCAGGCTAACCGTGGAAGGCTTTTGTTACGTTCCTAACCACAAATACGGATTTGTTCCATCAAGAATGATTGTTTAAGAAGTTCCTTCGTATTCTGGCCTTAAAATTTAAAATCTATAATTTTGTTCAAAATTATAAAGCAACGAAATTGAACATAAATAGTCGTTAACTCCAAATTTGGTCCGCTGATCAACGCCGTTATAAATAAAGTAATAATGATAAAATAAAATTAAAGAAAAAGTAGTTGAATTTACTTGCTTCGGCTTGAATTTTGTTTATCAAATTACTTGAAAAAATTAATAAATACACGAAAGACGAAAAAAAATATGTGTACTCCTTATCTTATGAGGAAAAATAAATATATCTAGAAAAAGCTTTTATGCATTTGACATCAGTTTGTCCCATTTCTTTTATTTTCCTCGACATTTTGAAAGGAAGGGGGAATTGGGAGGCAGATCAAATTGGTGGTAAGCCTTTATCCCGCCAATCCCTATCCACAATAGATTTCGATAACTTTCTCGACCCCCGCTCTAATGAACGCAATAAAACGACACCCCTCCTCTTTCCATCAAGTGTGGCAGAGATACTTGGCGACTTCCCGGCACCTAATTGTCGCCAAAGAAACATTTTTCCGTTCCTTGTAAACAGATTCGTGGAGGAAGCTCAAGATGAAAAAGATGGAAAGAGGGGAAAAAATATATTTCAATGTAGGATGATTCCTCCCAAACAAAAGAGCGATTGGACATCACGACTTCTTCTTTTTAAGTACCCGTCCGCCCTGTCGCCGTCTGTTGTTATTATCCGTTGTTAAAGTCGATGGCGAAATGCCAGAGTGTGTATAAATAGAGCATCAACATCCCTTGCTCCGGATAAGGAGGGCTAGGCGCCGTTTGATGCCGAGGACGCCGGTCTGACTGACGTTTACCAATGCAACAGCAACTCACTACTTTCAAAAGCTTTAAATTCTTGTGGTGCTGCCATCTGTTAGTTTTGAAAAGAAACAAAACCTATATTATTGAAATACCTCATTTATTTGAAATCGGTTAAGTGTAATTGGAAAAATAAATTAAAGTTATTTTAAAATTCAAGGTTTTAACTTTAAATTTAAGCAAAGTAACTACCTATTTTTCAATATTTGTGATTTTTTGTTTAATCGTTTAGCGCTTTGTATAACAAATTTATCAAAATGTTATTTGCTATTAAAATTTGAAATTTTTTCTTCCACAGCTGATGTTCGGTGTTATTGCAATCTACCTGCATGTGTGACGTCTGGATACATGTGTAAATCATCTGTGGGTGTCTGTATATCGGATCATTTTGGATACAATAATGAAATTTGGCAATCCAGACATGCCTGTCTGGAATTAAATTCTAATTCAGATCAAGAGATGGAGCCACTAGAATGCAAGGAACCTTCAGAAGATTTGGACAGCATAACGTACCCAATTCGTTTTTGCTGTAAAGAAGATATGTGCAATTACTTCCGAAATTCTAATGATAAACAAGAATCAGTTTATCGATTGAACCACAGTTATATGACTGGTACAAAATGATAATACGTTTTCTTTTGTTTATCCTCTGATAATACTTTCAATTTATTTATTTAACTGCTAATAATATATTTATTTTATAATTAAAGACCTCAGGTGTAAAAGTGATATTTTTGTATTTTAGGTATAAGCAGCATTTTTATAAAATATATTAACTATTACATATTTCAAATTGGAAAACTATCAATTTGTTGTTTGAACATTGGTAAACATTACTGGAACAGATTCGATAAAGATATGCCTAGCTAGGTGTTAAATTATTTACAGTAGGAAAGCGAAATTTTTATGAAGTGTGAATTATCGCCTTTCACCCCTGAGATCTCCAGCTATTAACGTTTGTAATGTATGGATTCAAATCTATTGCGTTTCATAAGATATTAATGTTATTAATTCTGAATAATTTTAAGTTCTAAATGAAAATTGTTAAAATTAAAAAATGATTCTCAATTTTTTTTTAGCCCAGGATATTATAACATTGGTATAACTTTATTGGTATGATATTAAAAAAATAGAGCGTAAACACTGTTCATTATCATATATCTGTGGCTTTTAATTAAATTGTCGTATTGGCATATTTTCAGAATTGACCAAGAGTGTGCTGGCCATAGGTACAAGGGCTCCGGCATCGGTGTGTAAGAGGATGCATTTGCACTCCCCTGGCTTTTTCTAAAACAATTAAAGAGATACAGAAAAACAATTTTGTTATAAAAAATTTTTATTAAAAATGTTTTTATTCAAAAACAAATAATTAAGTAATTATTGATACATAACAATTAAAAGTTTTTTCAATCAAACAAGAATTGTAATCGCCTTGTTTGCTGTCCAAATCTGTTTATAACTTTTTCAATGAATTCTGAGTCATTTTTGATTCTTTACTTATGCACACTGAGCATGCACGAATTTGGCAGATATCTGAGCTATACTTTTAAATTTTATTTAATAAAATATGAATAATATAATATTTTTCATTAGTTATTTAGTTTAACTAAGGTGCATAGCACAAACTGACTTCTCAGAACTGTAAAACTTCAAAACACAATAAATACCAATGTTAAGCGTGCACGAACACGTTAGTATACGAAACTACTGTTAATAGTTAGTTGTGTTTCAAAGTCAGTAGCCATGACTCATCAGTACAGTTTCTCGTGGCAAAATTTGTAAGTACAAGAAATTCGTACTTTTTTTTAAAATATCTTGTTAACAATGAAGAAATGCATCTTGAAAAAAATCAACAGAGGAAAATATATGTAATAACAAAACAAAATGCAATAACAGGATATTTTTAAAAAAATTTTTGGGGGGAGGGGTAGTTTGTTAGAGGATTGCACCCCCTTTTATATTATTCTGCCGGCACCCCTGCATTCTGCCGGCACCCCGCTGTTGCAAACTCACAGCAGTTATGAAAACAGCAATAATTCGTAAGAAAGCGTTATATCATGTGAAGGTGAGTCTTCGAAAAACTGACTTCGAAAAACAAACCAGCTAAAGTAACCGGGAAGATTCGCCCGCTGTAAAGATCAGCAACTCTCCTTAGTATAAAAATCACCATCTAATAAAAGCACTCGTACAAATTCAGATAGATTTTATTAGTATAATAACTTTTTTTTTTATATTTTGGAAACTTAGTTGAAAAAGTTCTCGATTTTGATTAATATTTTTTTCATTCACAAAATTCTTCATTGCTATGGTTAAATGGAAATTCCAAAAGTAAATACTTCAAAAAAAAAGTAATGATTTTTGAAACTCGCAATAGTTTTGTAGGCAACCAATAATCCATTATTTATTTAAGAAAGATATTTTATATTTTTAAAGGATATTTATACAAAATTACTATAAAAGATAAATAGCAAATTTCAAATAATATTTTTTTCCTCTAAAAATGCATTGAATAAAGTGCTAGAGGAAGATGCATTCAGACATGATTGCATCAATATTTCTCATTAAATTTAAAAATTTAAAATAAAGTAACCAAATTCAAGAATAAAGAATTATATTTCATTGGTAACAATTGTCGTAGTTTATAACAGTTCGTTTTCAAAAACCATAATTCATCTTATTTTATTCAATTCCAATCTATATGTCAAGAACTAGTAGACTTAACTTATACGGCGAAGATCATAGCCGCTGCAGACTTGCGAATTTAACTACTTAACATAAAGCATAATTTTAAGATGAATTGATGAAAGAATGAAAAAGTTTCATTCACATTAAATGTTTCTTTTTTAATCATATTTGCATCTGCTAATGAACGTTTTTTAAAAGTCAGGGTTTCATTAAATGAAGTTCCATCGTTTAGGGTTCCGTAGTAATAATTGGGAACAGCTAAACTAAAGAAAAAAAATTTTAGAAATGTTTTATTTTTATTTACTTACTTAACTCGAAAAGCTTAGAGCTATCCGGCTGCCGGAAAATGGCAGTAAATTATCAATAAAAGGAGTTAAAAGACAAAATTACGTTTCAAGTGCCCCAAAAGGCATTTGAAATTTAGAAATTGCGAAATTACAGTAAATATTTTGCATAGTTCCAGGGTGAATGTTTTTTATGGATCAATATTTCGAATTCGGTTTACAATACCGATTCTCCTCCTCGTGGTATACCCCAGAAACGTTCGACGGATGACAGATCTAAACTTTCCGGCATGCGACCCGAACGCTTCTTAGTTGATTTTGATCTGCATATTCTGTTAAGGAATGCTGACAGCTTCTTTCAACCAAAAAGGCTCAATTTGAAGCAAATATTAAATAAGTGTGATATTCTCTCGATTAATAAATTAAAACAACTAGGAAAATCTGTCTCTATATGTCTCTACAATGGATTCTTTTAGTGTTCCAAAGCCGAAAAAAACTGGAAGCCGCTAGCTTAGATACTAAGCGCGTTCTTCTATGAAGCTTTTCTATAATAATTGAAACTATAATCGTTGCTTTGTTTCCTTTGAAGAAGTCTTACGGTATATTTTTTTATGTTTACAGGTTTTCTGTCGAATGAAGATTACTTCTACAGGCATGGCGGCAACAATAAGAACAACGGCACCTCCATGCACCAACAGATGTGGTTCAAAGCGGCAGTGATTGCAGTACCCATTGCCGGTGGTTTTATTCTGATTATGCTCATTGTTATGGCAGCCAGAATGCTTAAAGCAGACCACAAGAGACACAGACAGTTCAACGAGATACGGAAACATGGCAGGCTGAACACACACGTTGTCTACACGGGAGAGAAGACACTGGGCCGAAATTTTCTTTATTTACCCAAATCACTAAGCTGCGTCGTTTTAGGCAATGATGCGGCCTTCCGCCATCCACAATTACAGAGGAGCTTCACATCTGCAAGTAGCATTGGACATTCAAATAACCTGTACAAAAATGTTTCGATAGCACTCTCGACTGATACAGATGTATCCAGAGATAAATATTTTGTTTTCGATCTGTGATATGTATCAGTGTATTAATGTCCGGGTCCATTTGAATCATTTTGGTGGTAAGAGTCTGACGTCGGTGAATATTGTGAAATTCATATTGTCTGGATGGATTTAACAATACATCTGAAATGTGTTGTCGTTTGTGCACCCATGTTGTGCATCTTGTGCCATTTCCATATTTTGTCTTATGAGTTAAGACCAGTTTCTTCTTATAACCCTTGATTATTAGCTAATACCTGAAATAGTTGAAAATAATTCTTAAAAAAAAATGACATTCCCTTGCTCTTCGACTGAAAGTTCAGACTATTTCGCATATAGTTTATCCTCCCAAATAGCGTTAACTAACTAACTCGTTAATACATATTGTTTTTGCTTTAAGACGGAATTTTTTTTAAAAATAAATCAATAAAAACCGGTGGTACATGCATTTATTAAGAGTAAAAACTATTCGCAATCAAAAATTCCTGATCAAATTACTGTATAAAATACCGGCACTTTAGATGCATCATATATAAAATCCTTTTTATTGCAAAATCCATTTTCACCGTAAAATATTGTACCGTAATTTTTACGGTAATATTTATTTAGTTTGAGTGATTTAATGTTCTTGCTGTAATTATTATCATAAAAATTACGGTATATCAGTTTTTTTGTTCCGTACCATGTTTCGATAAAAATGGAAATTACTGTGAAAATTACTGTGAAGTGCCGAAACTTTTTACCGGAATTTTTTGCTGTGCACTAAATTTTTTTCAAAATAGCACTTTTCCCATAGTTGTATTGATTAATATAAAATTTACGGAACGTCCAACTAAAAAAAGAAAAACAATAATTAGAATAAACATTATGTGGGTTGCCCAAATTGGCTATTAAGTACATGTATCAGCTGAACTCTTTTGCTTAGATATTAAAAAAAATCTAGAAATTTTTTGTTTGCATACGGAGTTATACAAATATTTTTTACTAATACTTAACTTCACAAGTATTAGCACTTTATAAAAGCTATTTTCGTTTTTTTACAACTGGCTTCTTTTACACTGTTAGAATTTTCAATCTAAAATTACAATAAATTAACCGGCAGCAGTCTGTCCATTCAATAAACCGTAAGGAACATTTCTTGCCTTTACGGTTTTGAAAACGTTTACAGCTTGTAAGGTTTAAAAAAAAAGCATGGATATAAAACTGTACGGTTTTTTAATCGTTTACAAATAGCATGGTTTCAATACCGTAAAGAAATTTACACTGGACCTAGCAGATAGTTTAGCAGCTTAATGATGCTACCCTCTAAGCATGAATTAGAGCGTCGTATTTTAATAGCACGGGGTAACAAATTGGGGAGTGTAGAATGTTGGCAACTTTTCAGGTGTCGAAGGGAATTGTGGAAATATTGTATTGTCAATGTTCTTGGACTCGAACCCTGATGATCATGAGATCGACAGATTAGCCCTCTGAGCTATATAATGTACCTATCTGCAAGGAACTAAGTGACTTCATTAGATGAGCCTAGTTGGTACGATAAAATTATAGTTGTTTAACCGTATTAAGTTAAAGCAGTTATTAAACTGTTTTTCTCACAGTAGATAGCAGTTAGAATACCATCTTATTTATGGTTATTCGACTGTTTCATTCGCATATGGTGAAATAGCAATTAAACGAATTGCTATTTAACTGTTTTTTTCCGAGAAATTTCTAACAATGTATAAGCGAGCCAATTTTGAAATGTAGGTAATTTAATCTATTTCCAGTTCTGTCATTGCTTCTCAACTTTTTTTTCAAAAAAAATTCCTTCCCATTTTGCATAACGTATGCAAGGAAAATATCAACTTAGTCTGTTAATTTACCCTAAATTTGTTTCATACATGATGAATTACGACTGAAACTGGTTCAGATGTATCCAGACAAAATTCGATAGTCGCTTCGATGATCGCCAAAGTGAGCCAATTCTCTGCATTTCAACATCCCATCGTGGTTTTTATTTTTAATAAAGCGATTTTTTCACGCTTTTTGTCGCGAATATGAGCTCGAATGCATAGCACCTTATCCTCATCCATTGTGTAGATAACTTGTACATAGAAAAAACTATATATTTACATCCATCCTGATTGTTCCTATTTCAAACAAAGGTATGGATTAAAAAAAAGTGTTGCTCCGCCCAAGTATAGTGCTTCATCTTTTTCTATAAATGCCATATATATATATATATAAACTGTAAATGTTTAATGTAATATTCTAAAGTAATTCGTGAAAAAAAAATTTAAATGTAGTGCCAAAGTTATTCTCCTTTAATTTTCCTTCATTGATGTAGTGAAAACCACGCTTACGGAATGATTTAGATCAATTTCAAAGCTATTTTTGTCATTTTCAAATCTATCAGATAGATAATATTTCATTAAAAAGGAAACTACGTCACATCTCATATAAATGATCCCAAGAAACTAAAGCGGAGAGATATTACTTGTTTAAAAACTTCATTTGCTTCAAAAGCTTTGCTTTTGCTTCAAGTTTTTAAACAAGCAATGCGTCTCATGTTATTTCTAACAGACGCAAAATGTACTCGAAGTCTTGAGATATTTTCGAAAACAAGCAAAACGCTTATGACGTTATAGATGTCGGAACAATTTCCTCTGAACAATGCTGGTTTTAGCGAAAAACATTTTGTTTTAAAAATGTTCGTTATGACATTCCTAGAATCTTTTTCTGAAAGTCGTTTTTTATTAAGAAAAGAAAGAAAGAACATTACTTTTGTCATATACTAAAATGAAATTTTGCCATAATAACCCTAATTTTGTAATTAAAGTTATCCATTAATTGTTATCATTACTCATTAATCATTACTATATCATTACTTTTTTTTTACTTTGAATACTTATAAATTGTTATCATAAGTGTTAACACCGAAGTCAATACCAAAATTTTAATTTTCTGTATAAAATATTAGTACCGTTTATAGAATAAAAAAATTACTTTGTTGTTACACAGAAAATTTTAAAAAAATACTTTTAATTTTACAGTCACATTTTTTCTCAAAGGTTAATTAATAAACTCATCTTTTTAAATGAAAACCATATGCATGTATAAGCAATTTCATTAACATCGGGCAAAATGCTATGCTTTCTATAAACATATTAAAAGCAAAACTAATCATTATTTCCCTCCACCTTATTGTTGAATTAAAACTAAAACTTTAGAAGTATGAAGGATACAAATTGATAAATCTGATTTAGATTTATTAATTTTTGTTCGAAATCTCCCTGTACAGAATAATGAATTATATATTTTTAGGGTAGTTAGAAAACCAAATTAACCCATTATTGCCCACAGTCCCTTTTAAGGGACGGTTCTAAAAGTGTATTATAAGATCACTAAAATTATATTTTTGGCATAATTTCTGCGTAAATTTAGTTTTAAGTATTATTTTTCTTTTAAATCTTAGCAATGGCAGCATTGTGCAAAATGGCTATATTTTGCATGCATTATAATTTTTTTCGTCTGCCGAAGAGTAATTTTATATTTTTTTTCTCATGAAATTTTTTTATTTAGTAATTATCTTGTAATCAGCAAATTTTTCACTAAATATAACTATATTTTATCTCATATTAGTTTGGAGGGGAGTAAACTTTTCATTGTGCACCCCCTTCAATTTTTTTCAATTTGTAACAAAATCATTTTTGGTAATTTTCATACTGATTTCATGATTTTTCATATTGATATCGAAATCGATAATAATTTGGGTCCTGGACATAAATGGGTTAAAAAGTAATTTACCTATGATAAATTGTCAAACGAGATTTTATATTTGTCAAATTTAAGAAAAACCCAATTGTATTTTATTAGTTTGATAATCGATAATTGTGTATCGTTTCCATACAACTCTGAATTATTTCAACAATAGCCAATGCTTTACGAAAAGTTACCGAACAAACTATTAAAAATTAGAAAACAGTTTCTATCGACCTATTGTGATTATCATGCCATAAGCTTGAAAGTACTTAAATGAAAGCAGAATTCGTATCAATCAGCCACAGCTGGGATTCGAACATTGGTTACCTCATTGGGAGGTGAATGCCCTATCCCTTGACCACCGCAGCTCTTCGACCACCTTTGAGGATATTTTTACGTCAGCACTATGGTCAGTGGGAGCCGGGAGCAGAATTTGAATCGACCAGCCATCACTGGAATTCGAACCTGGAAACCTCATCGGGAGACGAACGCTCTATCACCTGAGACGCTGCGTCTCCACGAACAAGGTTCAAAGATATTATTATAAATTAATAATGTCATAATCGACGATCATTCCGGTAGAAGACTTTAAAAGTTGTATTTGAAACTGCCGAGTGCAGAAGTATAGTACGGCTTTCAGGAGAACTCCTCCAGACATGAGTCTCGCGTCGTGGCGGGTACCATGGTTACGAGAAAAAGTCGCTTCGAATAGGGGTGTAAGGTGAATAGTTTTGTCTTGATCTTGGCATAGGTCAGTGTGAGTAAACTAATTAACACCTTCATTCGTCCTTTGCACCCCCATTAGAAATGTGTTCTCGCTTGTTACCATAGCAGCAGACAGCCCCAGACATTTAGTCTGGAGGAGTTCTCCTCAAAGCCGCGCTATACAATGCACCAGCTGGTGATTACTCAACATAATTCGCATAAAATTTTCAGAAGATATTATATCAGTCTTGAAAATTAATAGCTGTTCTTTGTATATCGATTTATTGGTTTGATAACATATAAAACCAAATTGGTTTTACTTCTTAACCTCTACAATTCTAAATAAAATTATATTTTAGGGTCTCATGTACACATAAATAGCAAGCAATTTTAGCATTTTAAAACAAAATTTTAAAATTGCATTTTAATGCTTTTTATACATGAGATAGAGCTTCTTAACACCTCATCAAGCCCAACTCGGTAAAAGCTTAAAAAATGTAGCAATGCGTCGCGTATTATTAGAATTACCACGTTTATTCACTCTTCATATACATGTATGATACAATAAAGTACAAAAAATGCTATTTCCTATTCAATTCCTTGATTTTTAATTGAATGAAACATTGTATTAATTGTTATAATAGAAATTCATTATTTTGACTACATTTTTCGCTTTTAATTATGTTATATAATAAGGAACATTGTTCATAATAAAAATTTACTTTATAATTTGTTATATTTTCAACAATACATTTTAGATTTGTTGTTTCTGTACATTTTAATGCTTGATGTATATTTCGTAAGCATTGTTTGTTATAAAATGTGAGATATAGATATTATTTATTGACTAATAAAAACATTTTAAAACTAAACTGATCTTTGTTTTTATCTTTTCATTACTGTATACTTGATTGAGGTTCCGATTTTTTCATTTTAAAAATGGGGATTTTGTATGTTTATGATTTCATTGTTGTAATTATATATTTTTTTAAAAATAATCATAAATTTCCCTTTATAAACAAAAATTTATTTTTTTCACATAATTTAAATTTATTTTTTCTTATGAAATCTGCTTGAATGATAAACTAATAAAAAATCTAGATCCTGTTGACTTTTAAGCGTAAGTTCATATTGGATCGAGAGCTCTAATTTATTAATCCAAATACATGGATGCCAATTGCTCTGCTTTCTGCAATTAAGTAGAGAATCAAAGCTTAAATCTTGCAGATATTTTTTTTCCAAAAATCATCAACACTTTTAACTCTATATATGCATGTTGATATGCATGTTTGGGTTACTTATATGTCTTGGTTGAGAAATACACTTAAAAATATTATAAATTAATAATAGTACAACAATTTTGCAGGATGCCACCTGTTCCGCTTCCTAAAAAAAATTACAGGTAGGCAATCGAAGAAAATTAAGTAGAGAATAGCTTAATCTTGCAGATATTTTTTTTTTAAATCAATAACACTTTTAACGCTTTACCGCAATTTAGCTGGAAAAAACTCAAGGTTGATATGCATGTTTGGATTATTTGGTCTTGGTTGGGGAATATACTTAAAAAATAAGATAAATCAATAATCGTACAACAATTTTGCTATCATTAGAAAACATTTTCCCTAATAGTGGAGCAAGTTGGCATAAATATGTAATTGAACTTTATGCCTAATATTTCAAGTCTGTTATTCCATTTCATTACCACAAAAAAGGAGTAAATTAACAAAGTGGATACAAGGCACATAAGTATTAAATTCCTTCCTATTTGTACATATTAATATTTTCTATTACTTTTTCTTAAGCATTTTCTACTACTATCATTTTCCCTTTCGTTTTTGCTTCCATAACTCTTTTTCAATTTTGTGCATTAAGGAACTTGCTCTTTGAGTCTAATATTTCTACCATGGATTTGAAAAGAAATAATAATTTAGCTCCTGGTAAAAGATATGTTAATAATTTCACTTATATAAACTATTTATAAGATATATAGAAATATAAAGTAATGTAAATATAAACATGATATCCTGAAAATTTCGGCGAAATTAAAAACGTCTAAACTTCTTTGATTTACCCAAATTTTTTAAAAGAAAACTTGATCTTAAAAAAATAATATTTTAGTAAATATAAAAGAGCATAAGTAATGCAACTTATATTATCTATTATATTACTGGATAAGCTTTATTCCAATTTTTATGACGCATTCAAAATTAGGACTTAAAAAGCTGAAACAACGCATGTGCGATAAGAATTATCTAGCTTTGTAATAACAAAACAACCAGGAATAAAAGTAGAGCCAAAAAAAAAATAAAGCTTCCAAATTATTTATTTANAATATTTTCTATTACTTTTTCTTAAGCATTTTCTACTACTATCATTTTCCCTTTCGTTTTTGCTTCCATAACTCTTTTTCAATTTTGTGCATTAAGGAACTTGCTCTTTGAGTCTAATATTTCTACCATGGATTTGAAAAGAAATAATAATTTAGCTCCTGGTAAAAGATATGTTAATAATTTCACTTATATAAACTATTTATAAGATATATAGAAATATAAAGTAATGTAAATATAAATATGATATCCTGAAAATTTCGGCGAAATTAAAAACGTCTAAACTTCTTTGATTTGCCCAAACTTATTAAAAGAAAACTAGATCTTAAAAAAATAATATTTTAGTAAATATAAAAGAGCATAAGTAATACATCTTATATTATCTTGTACTGCTGGATAAGCTTTATTCCAATTTTTATAACGCATTCAAAATTGGGACTTAAAAAGCTGAAACAAAGCGTGTACGATAAGAATTATCTAGCTTTGTAATAGCAAAACAATCAGGAATAAAAATAGAGCCAAAAAAAATAAAGTTGCCAAATTATTTATTTATTTATTTTGAAAATTTGGCAACCGTGTCTCTTTTTTAAAAAATATTGAATAGGACTAATATTTAATAGAAATAATATTGGGAGTACAAATTAGTTCGGTCCGTTTTCAAGAGATGGCTCTGCTGTTATAAATGTTTCATAGTGACAGCTGGTTTCAGAGAGGTTAAACATCTGTCAATAATATTCTGTTTATATCGCTTTGAGTTTCATACAAAAACCCTGTTTTTTACTTTGATGAGTGTGTCAAGCTTAGTAGTAACGAAGCACCATTTGTGGGAGGTTTTATGTTTCTGCTTTAATTGGAAGAAAATTGCAGCTGAAGAGCATAGAATTCTTGTAGAAGTCTATGGTGAAAATGCTCCAACTGATAAATCATGTAGGGAATGGTTTCGACGTTTCAAGAATGGTGAATGGTGAAAGAAGAATGGTGAATGAAGAGTGGTGAATAGTTTTGTATACTATGAGCTGCTACAACCTGGGGATTCCATTACGGGCGATCGGTATAGGCTACAATTGATTCGTTTGAGCAGTACATTACGAGAAAAACGGCCAGAATACAAGCAAAGACATGAAAAAGTTATTCTTCTGCCAAATAACGGTCAGCCTGTTGTCGCAAATGTCGTACAAAACTATTTGAAAACGCTCAAGTGGGACATTTTACCACATCCGCTGTATTCGCTGGACATTGCTCCTTCTGATTACTGGTTGCTCCGACCGATGCAGCATGATTTGGCTGATCACCAGTTCACTTCTTTCTTAGAAATCGAAAATTAGCTCCCAACTTGGATCGCCTCAAAAGACGAGACATTTTTTCGAGATGCAATTCGGAAATTGCCTAAAGGGTGGGAAAAAGTAGTAGCCAGCAATGGACAATACTTTGAATAATCTGTTCATTCATTTTATTCCGCAATAAATGCATTTTTTATCACAAAAAAAACGGACCGAACTAATTTGTACACCCAATAGAAAAATTTATTTATTTTCTATGTTTCGCCGCGAAAGATAAGCCATAAAAAGCTAGTGATGACTTTCTAACTGAAACTTTTCTTGATGTGTTTCCAGGAATTTGTTTATGCTTCATTGAAATCCCCATCCTTATTGGAAATACCAGTACGGAGAAGATTAGCTTATAGAATGTCCATTAAAATTTCCAAATTCTAAGAAAAAAGAGTTAAGAATGAGGCTGAACCGTATTTTCTACGTTACATCCGGGCCGAGATAGCCTGCTTGGTAGAACGTTGGGCCCGTGTTCGTGAAAACGGGGAGTTCGAATCGCGCTGCTCGAAAAATCCCCATCTTTTAAATGGTGACTGATGCACGATAAATCTGTCGGGGTCACAAAGTCCTCATAGTTCCCATAACAAATAAATATCTCTTAGGGTACTGAATTGGATATTGATCGTTCTCTAGTTCTGATCAAAATTACGATCAGTGGATGAATGAGTGGATTGAGATTGCATCCTCCCTATAAAATGGGCTGTGACATGAGTGTGACTGAAGTCATATTCTTGGCCACTGAAAAAACCAGAAACGCACCCTTTGCCTTACGAATTTGTTTGATTTCAAGCAAGCTTGTTGACTGGCAAGTAGTATAAGTAACAACTACAATGTTGCATCCTTTTTTTGTCTATGTTTAGCATATTTATGTGTCGCTCTCGTATAGATGGAGAAAATTTAATTGTGAGGTAGAAAAAAGGGTGATAGTGGAAGCCTTTTCAGTGTTCTAAATTTTATTTGAAAACTTCAATTACAATAATTATGCGTATTCTTTATCATAAAAAATATGTACAATTCAAATTAACGGCCTTCTCGTATCATTTCCTTAATCATACATTACAAGTTATAAAGTTAAAACATTTTAACAAAGAATTTTTGGAAAATTTAACACAAATTTTGAAAAATTGGTTAAACAATGCCATTTTACAAAAATAACTACATAGAGCGTCATTAATGTAAACACTTATCTATGCCTTAACATAAATGTAAAATGAAAATTAACGAAACATTAACTCACAAACAGAATTTCATGATGATTATTTATATACAAGTTCTTATTGCTTGACCTTTATAGTCCCTAAAGAAAATATTTTTGACCATTACAACAGTCTGTCAATTAAGTGGTTATCACCAACAAATGAAAACAAGCATCACCGATTATGTTTAACAGTATATAATCGAACGTTGAACGATGCAGCTTTAAAGAAAGAACTATTTTCCCTCGTGTAATGATACATATCCTGGCGGAAGTGCCAAGTCGGAAGTCAAATATGGCAATCTCACTGTCGTAATGGTTAAAAGTTGAGTTGGTTGATAGGCTGGCTCTAACGGTCTACATGGGGTAGGGAGTCTCTCCAATTCTTGTTCGTTTCTAAAATATCGAGAATTTATAATCGTTTCAGGACAAGGATGAACTTGCGTGTAAAATGCAACATCTGGCTGAATGATGTTCTCGGAAGATAGAACTGGAACAAAATAAAAATAAGCATACTATTTATCAATACGCAAATTTGCAAAAATACAGAAGCACGAAAAATAATAAATAAAAATAAGAGCAAATAACGTCAATGAATCTATCGATATATCAACAGCGATGTACATATTTTTCTTTTTCGAATCGCAAGCACTTGCCAACACTATCGTTGTTATCATTGTTGTTATAAACACTATATTGTTTTTGACACCTCTTGTTCTTGAATTAAAATAATTAAATCAAGAACAATGATCAAACGTTGATCGGTCCGCAGCGATAAAAAGGTTGGAGAACACTGCTCTAGGCAATAGCACTTTCATACGCAACCATCTCTCAAATCAGTAAAACTTAGATAAACAGTCATTTTTTTAATTAATAGCAATTACATTTTTCAAATAAATATCGCTTATATACACAAGCATTTCTCCTGGCAATCATTCATCTATTAAGTTCTCCAGTACCTTTGAGCAATCATTCTGAAAAAGTTTAGTCAGAATGTTTTGGAGAAATCATCTACTGCCTTTGCATATTTCATAATTTGAATAAAAATTGTATCATGGGCAAACTATTATCCTTTAAAATATTTCATAAAAAATTGTGCAATTTTTACAACTGTAAGATTCACGGTGGCTGAGAGATTTTGTCGATGAAAAGGACAGGGATTCGATCTCCAGGAGCGACCTGAAGTCCTCTCAGCTTCAAATCAACCATTACAAATCAATCATTCAGTCTTAACCTTTGTGGCGTAACTACCATTACAAATATTAAATACTAAATCACTGGTATATAAGACATGTTAACTCGATTATATCGTGAGGTACCTTTTGATAGATGAAAGTTGACATAGTCGATAATTAATTCCCTTCATTGGTGACCTGCGGACGTGATATGAACTCGCTAACATGATGGAAGGTCCACATTAAACAGTTGATTTGCTTAATATAAACAGCTCAAAGAAAATAAAAATAAGAAAAAAAAGATCCGGTGAAGTAAATAAAGTCTCCAGGTAATAAACGATATAGAAAAAAAATGAGCAAAATGCTATAAACAAAAAATGACAGGAAAAAAAAAATTAGCGAGATGCTACAAAAAAATTTAAAAAATATAATGAGCAAAAATTGATATAAATAAATAAACTGCATGAATCAACTAGTGGTATTCTTCCATCGAATTCTATCACAGATAAAATTCTGGAAGAGAAGTAATGTGGCGTAACTACCACGACAAATTTTAAATACCGAATCACTAGTATACAAGACATGTTAACTCGATCTTGTCTTGAGATACCTTTTGATAGACGAAGGTTGACATAGTCGATAATTAATACCCCACACCTTCATGATCCCCTGGTCCACGACGGGCTGTTATGGGAACACTGTAATTTACAAATTTGGGAATAAAAACGTTAATGTTTGAAATTACAAAAAATAATAATTAAAATAAATAGGTAAATAAAAGGATTTTTTAAGACAAAAATTGCTAGTGTTGAATAGCATTTAATACAGAGTCAAGGATTGTTTCAAGTCATTAGAATCTACAAACACAATCTCAACCAATAACACTTATAAAGGCATGCATAGAATACTAAGCTATTTATAAATAGATTGTATTTTTTCTCCCTTCATTTTAACACAAATTAATTAGAAAAAATTGCATCCTATATCGGATTTTTGACACTCAATCCTTAATTCCACATATCTGCAATTTCGAAATAAAACACAGAATTGAAAGAACTTTATTTTTGAGAAATCAAACAAACTACCTCAAAGTCAATGCCGGTCATCAAACTAATACAGTTTCTTTACAATTGAGAGGATTGTAATGAAAATTCTGTGCATCATTACATTCACGGTACTCTGAATATGACCTATAAACTTGTGAAGGTATAGGCAAAGGTTACTATCGTTGGACCACTTATTTTTGGGAATGGATTTTGGCTTCAAATTTGATGATTAAATGAAGTTATTTATCTATCAAATTTGGTCAAACTTGCGACAAAATAATGGAGATGGGCCAACGGAAGAGGTAACCCAATTGCAGTAATTTTTACCTAATATCTCAGACAGTCCAATTTATAGCATGCTTATGTTCTCTAAATTTGGTTGCCATATTTAGATTTTTTTATCTTCTTTTTTTCTATTAAGAGTATGAAAAAAATTAATTCTTTTATGAGAAATGGATATTAATTAGGTGAAAATAAAGTATGATCATTGGATGAGCAATGAATACGTCAAAGAATGATTATTGGATTAGCAATGAAAATTGAAAAAAATGTGGGTTTCCATGATGGGTTGTTTTCTTTTTTTCTTTTTTTTTTAAAAAAAAGGAGTGGGGGAAATGTAGTGTAATATAATTATAAATTTACTTGTTCCTGGATAGTGCGATGTTAAATTTTCTGGAAGACGAACTACAGCTGTCTTGTAAGGTTTCCTCCAACACAACAAACATAAAAATATTAGAGCAACTATGGTGCATATGACTGAGATTGTAATAATCCTGAAATTAAAAATCAACATCAATACAAGCGAATGCTGTTACTCATAATTCAGAACAGAGTAATGGTCTATTAAGACCATGAACCAAATATTCAAAATAAATATAAAAAGAGTAGATTATTAGATTAGAAGATTTATTAAGCTTCCCATGTTTCTCCTCATGTTGTTTGGAAAATCTAAAAAAAAAATCTTAACGTAATTGTAATCCAAATCCTTTTGTCTAAAGATGGTTTCATGCGAAACATAATTTTTCTATTTTTTTCCTTTACTATTTCATTTAATAACGGACTAAGTTTACATTCGTAATGTTAAACGAAAAATGCAGATTTTTTAATCAATTCAGCAGAATAACTTTTAAGTGCTGAAATTTTGAAAAAATTATAATTTTAAATTCTTATTTCTCAACAACATTTGAACCAATTCCGTTCAAATATAATATTTTGGCAGTTAAAGTTGCACTGTTTAATATTATGTAAAAACCATGTGTACCTTACAATTCAAAACTTTTTTTTATCTGCTATTAAATAAAATGATAAAAAAATGATAAATAAATTTTTATAAATATATTTGCATGAAATTATAATTTATTAATTTATTTACTGTTTCGTATTTGCTTGAATTATGGAAAGCAAATACCCATTAGTGAAACTCAACAAACTAAAACAATTTACTTATTTTTTTATGAACAAATTCGAACAATTTTATTCCATAGTTTTGAAGCAAAAATAGGCGTCAATTTACCAGAGAAAAGCAATTTAGTAATAACCGAAGTACATTTTAAGCTTCACCAGGCGTGAATTAGGAACACAAAAGTGATTTGAAACAGAGAATGTATTGTTGCCAAAGAAAGAAGGAAAATAAATGCATTTTGTCCTGATTTTCTTCACACGGCCACTGCGGTTTTTCTAGTTTTTTTTTCCCATCTTATTTATTTTTCATTTTCTATTTCACTCTTGGCTACCGGGGTTTTCCTAGTTTTGTTTTTCAACTTTTTCAACTTCCGTTGGCAACTTTGCATTTCGTTTTCTCATTCATGCCTAGTAAATCTTAAGAATGTGCACCTATTTTTGAGATCTCGAAACATGTCAACATTTATTACTATCTTCATATTTTTTAAGCCAATGAAGTATTTATCATAAAGTATACAGAGTTACATTTGGGCCTTGATTATTATTTTGATCATAATCTTATTCTTGTAGAACAAATTTTAAAAGGGACAATGCGGTTCTTAAAAAGTAGGAAAACTGTGTTTTAACATTTTAATTATGAAGTTTTCTTTAATTTTAAAAATGTAATTTCGAAACTTAATATTTTGTAACCAGATACTTGGATTTATTGAAAGGGAATATAGTGGTGAATATAAATGTAATAAGATACATTTTATCTTCCTAGTTTTGGTACCACTATTTCAGTTTCTTAAAGACTTTGTGTTCAAAAGGAGACTACGTCCTGAGTTATAAAACTAGCTTTTAAATGAAAGAAACAAACAAAAAAATTATTATAGCGATATTTGGTGATAAATGTAGCTGATCATAAGTAAAGAGGTTGAGTGGCATTTCATGGTGAATTAGCGAAAATCAGTTTCAGAATGTATAAATGCAACAGGATTTATTCGCAAAGGAAACTAAACTTAAATATTTGGCGGAATGAAACAATGTTTTAACAATAAATCATGCAATGTTCTTAATCATAGATATTTCAATATTTTTAAAATACCACATAGCATTCACTAATTTCTGCAATTACAGAAAAAAGATCTCAAATTATATAAAACCCTGTAAATGGACATTACAATTATAATCTCTTCCAAACCCTCTGCATTTTTACTACAATCTCTAGCTTTTTTTTCTTTTTTTTTGGCTCTTTAAACCTTTTTGCTCTGCAACTCTGTATATAATTATAATAATTTATCCAAATTTGGTTTTAGACTGTAATCATAACAAAAATGAAGTTAAAACAACATAGCCACCATTACTGTCATACAAAAAGTTCATGTATTCAAATTCTAAAATCTTTAAAAATCATAAATAGTTCAATGGATTCAAATTTTTGTTTCGAATGAGATTAAAGAGGAAACAATCTTTCCTTTATGATCAGAAATCAGCTCAAAAATTATCTATTTCCTAGAAACTTTGAGATATTTTTCTATTAACTATGAAAATAAATTTTGAGATATTTTTCTATTAACTATTAACTATGAAATCAACCATAAATAAATAGACCTTTCCGAACTAACACAGAACGTTGAATGAAAAAGCTTCTGTTCTTATTTTATTCTGCTTTTTTATTGTCTCAACTTGGTCGCTTAACAACGGAGAAACATTAAGCATCGTCACAATACAAAGCTTTCTATACCTTACTTGGCTGGGGTGTACTATATGCAAAGTAAAAATCGGACCTCCTTTAATAACTTTTGATCTAATGATCAGATCTTCACGTTTTAGGACTAGATCTTAATGGCTCGAGGCAGTGACCTCAGATACGCTAATTAAAAAAGTTACAAAATCAGACACAGAAACGTACTTCCTCTGAATTAACATACCTTTTTTCAACGGATTTGGACTTTTGATCACCAAAATTTAAAGAGTAGCAGCAATCTAGGAAATATGGTCCCCATAGTTTGGTCGAGAGAGCAATTCAAGGTTTAGATCTCTTAATATTAATTTTGCTTTTTGTGCATTTCGTCATATCTCTAGAATTTTAGCGAATTCAAAAAGCTTTACAGACAGTTATAATATTTGTTTATCCAAAGATAATTCCATGCAAAAAATACATTTTAGTAAATATTTATTATTTTTTATTATTTTATTAAATAATAGTCGAATAATCTTTGAATTGCAAGGTATACAGTTTTTTATATCATTTTAAAGTATGCAAATTCACGTGGTAAAATACAAAATTTGAGCAAAATCGGTTGAATAGTTCCTGAAGGACGAATTTTAAATTCACGACTTTTTCAAAATTTGATTTCTCAGAAACTATTCAACCAATTTAGCTCAAAATTTGTATTTTTTCATTTAAACTTACATGTTTTAAAATTATGTAAAAAATTGTAAGTCTTACAATTCAAAATTTTTTCTACTATTACTTGATAATATAATAAAAAAAGTAATACTTTTTAATATTTATTTTTTGCATAGGATAAACGAATTTTAAAATTGTGGGCAAAAAATTTCCAACTCACTTAAAAAGTTCGCGAGATTAGGCAAAATACTCAAAAATCAAAATTAACAAGGGGTTCAAATTTTGGAGAGCTCTCCTGACCAAATTATTGGGACCATATTTCCCAGATTGTGATTATGTCCTATATTTTGGGAGTCAAAAATCCGGATCCGTCTAAAAAAAGGTATGTTTATTCAGAGAAAGTAAGCTTTTGGGACTAATTAGAGTAACTTTATTTCAAGTTACTCTAATCTGCATTTATTAATTAACATATATGAAATCACACCCTCGAGCCATTAAGATTGAGTCCTAGAATGTGAAGATCCGATTATTAAATCAAAAATTAATCAGGGTAATTCCTTTTTTGCGCACTGTACACCTATGATGTTTAGAGCCACCTGAAACGATCCCAGTGGTCCGTTATTTGAACTCTGGGGTCAGTAAACAAACATCTTTCTCACCCATTTTACCTTCTACATCACATTTGAGAATACGCATCTTCTTAAAAAATTAGCATATTCTGTTTCAAGTTTAAATACATGAATGTTTCAATTTCGACTATTTTTCGGAGCTATTTTGACAGAGATTTTCACAAAATTTTAAAAAATTATATTTTACAGGGAACTACTGTCTGAAAAATTTAATTGAACGCATAAACATAAAAAATAATATTTGTCCAAATGAATACTTATATAAGAGGGGGGGTACCTTTGACCATCTTTAATTTACTCATTAAATTTAAATATATACATAAATATAAGCGATAACATGTAATTGTTCATCTAAAATAATAAGTTACTCAAGTTGAGCCCAAACCGATACTGATATCAAAAGTTTTTACCTCATGAATTTAAATTTATTATTGTCAGGTTAGGACAAAAATTTCTGCTTTTTTTTTTTTTTTTTTTTTTTTTTAAATTTTATTAATTTATAGACATTGCAGTGGTGGGTTCTTAAGGCGAAGAAACATATAAATATTTACAATGCACTCTTCAATTTACATCAAATAAATTTTGAAAGGTAACAAAAAAGTGTCCTCTAAATATTTACATTTAAGAAAAATGGATAGTAATAAGTGGTCTCTAATAAAAAAATCCATTCTTTAAAAAAATAGATTAATAATTACAAGAATCAGAAACATGTTAATTATACATAGAATTACAAGGAAAATGTGCGAAACAAGTAAGCATTCTAAATAACTTTAAATCTCTAGATCGTATTTCCAAGTACTATGACTCAATCTTAATGATTCGAAAACATTAACCTTAAATATTTTAATTACTCAGTGCGACAATATTTTAAATTACTGAATCAGAATAATATAATATATGGTATGTATATAATAATGTATAGAAAGAATATGGTCATTCTCTTAATATAGATACTTTTTCTTTAAGGGATTTGGATTCTCGATCCTAGAAATATGGAAATAGCCACAGTCTAGAAAATATAGTCCTAATAATTTAAACAGGAGGGCGGTTAATTATTTAATATTAATTTTTCTTTTTGCGCACTTCGCCGTGTTCCGAGAATTTTTCAAGCGATTTGATAAATTTTGGAGCACAACTCTAAAATCTGTTACGTAATTTAAAATTGCTACTGCCCTTTCCCCATAATTTTAAGATCACGAATACAAATTCACCGAAAGAGGTATTTTTATTCAGAAAAAGTGCATTTTTGAGTCTAATTTCGTACTTAAAATATCGTCTGCTCTATTTAATTAGTATATTTAAGGTTAGAAAGCATTAAAATTACGATTTACGCGAAGCATTAAGACCGAGACAGTATAGGATAATCCGATCATAAGACTTAAATTTAGATAGAGTGTTTACTGTTTGGCACACTGGTTTATTGTATAAGAAAGAATAAATAATTTAAATGAGAAAATACTCAATTCTGATCTAATTGGAAAATAATGATTATTAAAATACATAGGAAATGCATATTACAAATATTATTCAATTAGACTAAATTTAAGAGAATAATAATAAATAGAAGATAAATATACAACATGAAGCTAAATATACAAGATATAGGAAATGTACAAAAAATCACATAAAACTATTTTAGATAAACATATTTGTCTGATTAATTGCATGAAATAAAAGAAGACAATTTTATGTGCCATATCACAGATTTATAGATATTTTTCAATTTCTTACCAAAAATACCATTCGCTATAAATTGGTGAGAATGAATAAATTTCTGGATAACTGCTCTCTGGTGCTAGAGCCGGTGGCTCTGTTTCTGTTCCTGTGAGAGATAGAAAAAATTAAATAAAATAATGTATGAGAACAATAATATTAAAAAAAAAAACATTCTAATTTTACAGTAATCGATAAAATCTATAAAAAGAAAATATGTTTTTTGAAATTTTCTGCGCAGTCGATGCAGCAGCAAAAAGCATTGGATTGTCAGTCAGCGATGAAAAAACTAAATTCATGGCAATAACAAACAGAATCACAACTCTATGACCACATCAAACTACTGAATAGGAGTTTAAACAAGTAGTTCAATTTAAATATTTAGATACAATAGTAAACAATAATAATGACATAAAAATTTTAAGTAAATATACAATCAACATGGCTAACAGATTTTATCATGGATTAAGAAATCAGCTCAAATCAAAATGCATAAATTGAGTTCTAACCTGGTGTTCAGCTTAAGCAACGATTACTGAGCAATTAACAAAATAGATTAAGAGAAACTGATGAGTTTTGAGAGAAAAAAATAAGAAAATTTTTTGGTGCAGTAAGAGAAAGCGAAACCTGGAGAATTTGTTACAACCATGAGTTACAATCAAAATACAAAGGACCTAACGTAGTAAAAATGATCAAGATTTCTCAAATTAGGTGGCTAGGACATGTATTTCGATATAGCGATGAAAATCTTGTTAAAAAAATAACCTTCCAAACACCACAGATAAAAAGAAAAAGAGGAAGACCTAGATCAAGAAGGTTAGATAGAGTAGAGAAGTGGTTAAAGGACTTGGGAGTCAATAGATGGAGAAATATAGCATCAAATAAATATAGAGGGGATACACTGACTCAGACGGCTCTTACCGGTAACCGGCTGTAGTATCTAAGAAGAAGAAGAAGAAAAAGAAAATTTTGAAAATACTATCTTTGAAATTACGAAGGGTAACATAAAATTTTACTATCAAATAAAACTTAATTTTATTGTAAGATCAATATTGCAGTCGCTGCAATATCCCAGCGTCGCAACGGGGAGAAAAAACACGAGCGTCTTTTGTTTAAGCGATCGGCTTTCTAATCTGATGTTCATCTTAATTTTTTTTGCAAGATTTTTTTCATATTATTTTACAATTATGCTTCTATTCTTGCTAGATTTTTCACAAAGCATTTTAAATGTTTATATCTATTTATTTTTATTATACATTTTTGATTATATGTATTATTTATTTTTTAAATATTTAATTTCTTTTATTAATAATAATGAAAATTATTTGTCCATTGCATGATATATATACAGAAATTCATGGAATTTATCAATTCTGTTTTGGGACAGTTGGGAAATCGGGTAGTATTTTGAAAACTATCTGGATGATTTCCAACGTGCACTGTTAAAATTTCTCGAAAAAGATGATTAAATGACAATTTATTTTATTGTTATTTTACCATATTCAAATAAAACAATCAAATAACCATAAATAAGGTGGTATTCAAACTGTTAACTGTGAGAGAAACAGTTTTTTAACTACTTTCACCAAAAACAGTTAAACAACCAGAATTATGTCGCACCAACTAAACCCACCAAACGATGGTAGTGACTTAACAATTACGAGATTATTAACAATTATATTAAATAGTATAATTAATAATAATTTAAAAAATGATCTACGAATTCATCAGAAGGATATAATAAAACATTTAAGAATAAAAAAACACGTTAATTTTACTTTAATTTCTCTTTTTGTGAATGAAATTTATGCTTCTTTGACCTTCAAAACATAAGAACTAATTATACATTAAGTATGCTAATTAAGAAATAACTTTCATTATCATTTAAAATTTTATGTAACGTAATTGATTAAGATTAAGTATAATTAAAAATTATCAAGAAATAACATTCATTATCTTTTTGGAATAAATTTTGGTTTCAGCGTTACGTTATTCGTTAGGTTAAATATAAGTTATTTAACAAAAACTGTGTTCCGTACATCTACGAATTCGGTATAGAAAAATTATATGAACGAATATTTTATTAAAAGAGGCATTTAAATTTAAACATCGAAAATGAAGAATGCTTATATCAAGCATATATTATTTGGGAATTATTTTTGTCTCTGAAGTACTAATTTTGGCATATTTTAGAAACCATCAAATTGAAACGGTAAATAGTTTACTATCGAGTACAAGAAGATATAAATTAGTTGACGTTTACATTCTGCTTAACATCTTAATTAATATTAGTTCTTTGCTACAAAAGGTATGCTCGTTTTTAGCTGCGTCTTTTATTTTATAGCCGTCGTTGAACAGCCGACCCAATTTTAAGTTTACGGCTGCCAATGTTCAACTCCGTAGCCTTGTAATTTTGAACTCAATCGAGAAGACAAGGGAACTCCTGGATCAAATATTGAGAGTAAATATTTTGCCTTCGGAGAGGATTTTTTTGATGGAATTAACCCGCATTTGCGTTACATGGAGAGGAAAACCTTCTATAGTTAGTCTGACGGCAAGGGGACTCTAATCCATGATCCGTCAACCTCTAAAGAAACTCTACGTCAGCACTGTGGTCACTGCGAGACAGGTGCAGATTCGTATCGACCAGCCACAGATGGGATTCGTACCAGGTTCACCTCATTGGGTGGCAAACGTTCAATCCCCTGAGCCATCACGGCTCTTTAGTTGTGTATTTAAAATAATTTAGTTTATGCATCTGACAACTATATTCAATATACTGATAATAATAATTAGTTTCTATCCGCGTTTGCTTCATTAAGCCTAATTATAATTTTGTATTAATGTTCTCTTTGTGCTAACTGTATGGTAGATTTACAATTCATTTTATTTCATGAATAGTTGAGTGTTTGCATTCTAAATTAAATTTTCTTCTTGTAAATTGTTTCATGGAAACATCTTTACTTACTCTTATTTGTATTACATCTCTTAGTCATTATAAATTTTGATGTTAGTGTACATCAAAAGTTGTAACAACAGCTTTAAACCAAAAAAGGGTTATGAAAGATTCCTGGTGTTTCCCTACACCTACTATTCTCTGGTGTTTCCCTACACCTACTATTCTTGGTGTTTCCCAACATCTACTTTTCTTGGTGTTTCCCTACACCTAGTATTCTTGGTATTTGCTTAAACTGAGAACTATCCTTATTGCTTACCACTTTTAGTGTAAATTAGTTGCCACCAGTTAAGTTTCGGAAATACACTATTTTTCTTTACAGTGCAGAAAATTATAAGAAAATGATCTTCCTTACCATTCAATGTATCCAGTGTGGAAATGTCTATGTCTTAACATCTGCCCTGTGTTTTTGAAGAAGCTGCCTTTTTAGTCATGGATTCATCTTAGATGTTTCCCATAATGGACTACAAACAAAGTCACTTTAAAACACCTTGTTAGAATGCGAGACATGTCACAAATTCTGTGAAACAAAACAAACATTAATTTACAAGCGTTTATCGGATTTCAACTTACTAACATTACTGACATTCAAAATAAATTTGAAGCAAAAAACTTTGAGACACTGATGAATGACGATTGATTATCTGTTTGCACCAGTTATAATACTGACGAAAAAATACCAACACAGTAAAATAATCCGGATTAAATCACGATGTAAAGTACTGGCAAAGTAAAATTCATTTTTACCGTAAAATTATATACCGTAATTTTCATAGTTATATTTATTTAATTAGGGTGATTCAGTGATTTTACGGTAATTGTTACTGTAAAAATTACGGTACATCAGATGTTTTGTTCCGGAAAAAATGGATTATACGGTAAAACTGAATTAGGATCTTGAGTGCCGATACTTTTTACTAAATTTGATCCGGAATTTTTTACTGTATTGACAAATAATATGTTAGAATCTTATTACCGTCTGATTAATCGAAGATTTTCATGGTTTATATCTTCATTTAAAGCAAATGCAGATTAATTAAACTCGAAAAAATCCTCAGAAAAAGGGATTCATGTCTTAAGGGTTTTTTTTCACTTTATGAGTTGTATTGAATAATCAAAATTGGCTTTGTATTTAATAGTCGTTATTGCCTCCTTTTAATATTTACTGCTTTATTAAAATAAAATGTTGGTAATTAAAAATAAAATCCAAAATATTAATTTTATACATACACACAGGTAGTATTTTGA